TTCCGGCCCCGAGGGCCGGCCTCAATAAAACTGCAAACAAACCGCAGCCGAAGCGATGACAGGGGGGACGCTGATCCTCCCCTCCACCGAAAATGCAACCGACCACGAGCCACGGAAGCCGCGCTTTTCCTGTCACCCGTCACCGGAGATCGTGTTTCTATCGTTCGCCTCTTACTAGGCTCACCTGATTGTGAGATTTATTCGATATAATCGTATTTTATAGGGTGTGAGATATTTATTCGGTGATGAGCGATCTCTCGGAGCGAAGTCTTTGTGTATCAAGAATGGAAGGTGTTTCTCGACCAATCACATCCTTGCTTTCATTTACAAAGCACAGGTAGAATCTCCTCCCCTTGTTCTTTGTTTCTATATGTTGTTTTTTATATATAAATTACCGCCCCCCATGGAGATCCAGGCGAGAGAATCCACAGCAATGTGCGATTTATAGGTACGTGCTGTTCGGTCAGTCTTGTGATTCACTTACAGCCCAGCCAGGCGGGAGGTGACACCACCATTTCCTGGTTCAGCTGTGCGACTTGTTTCCTGCCGGATGATGAACCGATAATGGGACGATGACATTTGGAGTCCATTCAGCAGGAAGTCGACACTTGAAACCGAAACGTTAAACTAGGAAATAGAAATGTCACCTGACCTGGCTGCTGTGTGTGGCAAAGATGTGTAAATCTCAGGACTGGCTGGACAGATCTACACGTCCGTTTGGTGGATAAAGAGTTCCTATGTGTATAAGGAGGTTGTGATCCCGACTTTGAAATCCTGAGACTTGCAGTGAAGTCGTGCGATTTCCAAGCCGGATGTCATTCCAACCTGCAAGAGATCTGCCCAGACGTCTGTGCAAGTCGCACCAAAAGCAGCTCAAGAAATCGGCGCAGCTCCGCCCACATCAGAACCGCACCGATGTGACCGCTATAAATGCAGACGATAGGGTGAGACTTGGCATGCGATTTTCAAATCCGCATGCCAAGTGCAGCCGGGGTCTTAAAGTGGAACTCCAGTCTCAACCTAACTCCCCCCCCCCCCCCCCCCCATACTAACTAACCTGTGTAAAGGTGTAAATACACTCCAGTCACGTGATCCCCTGTGTCAATCAGCAGTGGCTGCAGGGGAGAGGAGGGAGCACCGACAACAGATGGGAGCCTATGGAGAACTCTCCATCCCCAGGCGTTAGGCAATAGGCAGCAGATGGGATTGTTTCCACGGCAAGCCTGCCGAACGCTACAAGTAAACGGGGAAGTGCCGTGGTCGAGGCACGGTGGTCTTCAACGCTTGCCACTCCGCTCTGTTCTCACAGAGGTTCCCCTCTATAGTGTCCCAGGACCCCAACTCAAGGAGTGATGTAACATCCGTCCCGACCAGAACAAGTCCCTGTCCCTTCCTAACCTCCCTTCCCCCCATTTATGCCATATATAGCACCTCAGTACTTGCAAGATCTTGGATGACCATCTTTGGAATACAATGTGTCCAAATAGACACAGGCTTTCCCAAGATGGCGCCCAGAACCCATAGCAGAGGACATGTTAGACCTATGCCAGGCTCCCCTCTAGTGCCAATAGTAAATGACCGTCAAGTGATCGCTTTCTTTCCTGGGAAGAGAAGATGTTTCTCACATTGGAAGGATTCCCTCTCATTTCCTGCTGAGTCTACAGGAGACGTAAAGGGAAATCTTCCTAATATGAGACTGCTCCTGAGAAATGACAAAATGACTCCAGAATGGAACAAACATCTTTTGTCTTTGGATATATATGATAGTTGTGTCTTTAAATACATTACTTAGTCTTCCAGCTAGTGCTTTGGCCATTTCTTTTCCATACATCATACTCTTGGCATCAATAACGGGGGGCAAGAATCCTCAAGGTTCCCCCAGCCTACCATTTAAAATGTTCTAACCAGAATTCTTCAGAAGAGTATGAAGGAAGGTCAAATGTTTGTGATCTGGGAAAGGGGTCTGAAGGACTCCTGTATGAGTTGACCAACATGGGAGTGGATCCTTCTAGAAAGCAGGCTCCCCCTTGGATTCCCATGCATCCAGTAGGAATGCAGAAAGAATAGATCATAAGAGAAGAGTTGGGAAAGCCTGCAGCTTTGGGACCGTCCAGTGCTTGGAGGTCTTCTACCAGAAGAAGTTCTCGAACACCATGTGAGGAATCCTCTGTTCAGTAAGCCATACTTGGCCAGGATTCCTCACATGGTGTTCGAGAACTTCTTCTGGTAGAAGACCTCCAAGCACTGGACGGTCCCAAAGCTGCAGGCTTTCCCAACTCTTCTCTTATGATCTATTCTTTCTGCATTCCTACTGGATGCATGGGAATCCAAGGGGGAGCCTGCTTTCTAGAAGGATCCACTCCCATGTTGGTCAACTCATACAGGAGTCCTTCAGACCCCTTTCCCAGATCACAAACATTTGACCTTCCTTCATACTCCTCTGTTCAGTAAGCCATACTTGGCCAGGAGTATGAAGGAAGGTCAAATGTTTGTGATCTGGGAAAGGGGTCTGAAGGACTCCTGTATGAGTTGACCAACATGGGAGTGGATCCTTCTAGAAAGCAGGCTCCCCCTTGGATTCCCATGCATCCAGTAGGAATGCAGAAAGAATAGATCATAAGAGAAGAGTTGGGAAAGCCTGCAGCTTTGGGACCGTCCAGTGCTTGGAGGTCTTCTACCAGAAGAAGTTCTCGAACACCATGTGAGGAATCCTGGCCAAGTATGGCTTACTGAACAGAGGAGTATGAAGGAAGGTCAAATGTTTGCGATCTGGGAAAGGGGTCTGAAGGACTCTTGTATGAGTTGACCAACATGGGAGTGGATCCTTCTAGAAAGCAGGATCCCTTGTACGCCCCAAGGCTCCCCCTTGGATACCCATGCATCCAGTAGGAATGCAGAAAGAATAGATCATAAGAGTTAAGAAAGCCTGCACCTTTGGGACCAGTCCAGTGCTTGGAGGTCTTCTACCAGAAGAAGTTCTCAAACACCATGTGTTCAGGAAGCCATACTTGGCCAGGATTCCTCAGGAGTACGGAGAGAGGTGCGTACTCTCAGGCCTTGGTGTGTAGGCATTGTCAACAATTTTTGTGGTCTGGTAAAGAGGTCCAAAATGACTCCTTTTATGAGTTGACCAATGTGGGAATGCATCCATGACTGACCGTCTAGATAGCAGGATCCCCAATAGGCCTCAAAGTGTCCCCCCCTTTGGGTATCTGTACCTCCAATAGGAATGTTGGTAGAATAGGTCATAAGAAAGGAGACTAAGGTCTGCCGATTTGGGACCATCCAGCCTTGGTGGTATTCCACCAGTACAATAAGGAGGAAACTCTCCTTTGCCCACAGTAGACCCTTAAATCCTGCTGTTGACTTTAAACCCACCCCGGAAGAATAGCACAACCTGATTGGCAGTTACAAGCTTGTGGTTCTTGCGGTGCGGCATGTTTTATGATGCCGTACTGCGACACCGATCGCCATCATTGAATTGGCCCTTTATTTTATTTATATTGTATTTATTTGATTCTAACTTTATTAAAGCTTTTTTTTTTTAAATCCCATTTTTGATGATGATCTAAGCAAAGCCGGTCAATGTATTCTGATTGATATTGATGTCCAAAACTGTCCTCCTAATGTGTCCTCCGTCCTCTATCCCCTCTCCTCACCTCCCCTCCTCCTGTGTGAAAAGCATCTGAAAGGCTCGGCCCGCTGACATTCCAGCTCTTATTGAAGGATGAATGTACCGTAAATGTATGTGTGATATAGGCAGCTGAGACCGTCAGAGTATATGTGTATGCTGGTGCACCAAGCTGGGTCCCCGCTGTCCTGGATGGGGCCAATGCAGTGTTCACCAGAATAGGAATCAGCTTCTGAGCTGCAGCCAGCATGACTTGCCATCAAGTAAGGGCGGAGAAATGCTCGCTTGCTTCCACAGTGTTGATCCCCTGCTGGATGGATCAGCGAGGCGTCACTGATGAATACATTTCCTCCAGCGAGGCCGTGATCACCCACTCATCCAGCCAGTGAGGAAGCGGCACCATGGAAGGAGACATGTATCTTCTCTCCACTTCTTCATGATTTTGTCTCTGGAGAGTCCTCACCAGCCAAGGGCAATGTGCCCACACCTAGTGACACTGAATGGAGCGCTCCAGATTTGTGAGACGCAGATCAGAAATACTAGGCGAACATGGCGTTCCACTGCGTTGACCCGAACGTTGCAGTGCAGCATAATGAGCCGCTGCCATGTTCTCATAGATGCTCTACAGGACCAATGTGAGGGCCATAGTCCTTCTATTATGGTAGCATTTCACCCGTCTGTGGCTAGGACCCAGCCTGGATCCCATCTAATAGTGATCAGACCTTTGCTCCTTCACCTTACTCCATACCAGATGATTGAGACAGACAAGCAGAGATGTTTGCCCAGCCAGCTGGAAAATCCTCAGGTCAGATATCCACACCTTGGAATGCCTGCTGTACATATTTCCATCCCCTACACCACGGGTGGTAAACTGGCGGCCCTCCAGCTGTTGCCAAACTACAAGTCCCATGAGGCATTGCAAGACTGACAGTTACAAGCATGACTCCCAAAGGCAGAGGCATGATGGGACTTGTAGTTTTGTAACAGCTGGAGGGCCGCCAGTTTGACACCCCTGCTCTAGAACAACCTTTGTCAACCATTTTATCCCAGAGGAACCCTTAAAATCATTTTTCAGGATTTGGGGAATCTTTACTATAACCAATTTGAGGAGTCGATGGCAAAAAAATAACCCCTGCGGTAGTCAGAACGCCACCTGCCCAGGCAGCTACGAAGGTAATTGGTGTCATGCTGCTGGCTTCGGCAAGTGGCATTAGTCTTGCAGCTACGCAAACAGCATCAAATGGAAGGTCAACCAACCACAGCTCCAGGAACCCCTAGCAAGCTCTAGAGCAGCCTTTCTCGACCTTTTTTACCAGAGAGAAACCCCTAAAATATGATATAGGTCTTGGGGAACCTCTACTAAAACCAATTCCTTTGGGGACAATGGGAAGAATGTCTGTTATATAGGTGGTCAGTAGGAAAAATGCAACCCTACAGTCTTGGTGAGAATGCCACACTTGCATGTTAAAATGATCATTGCAATCACGCTGCTGGCTTTTCCAAGTGGCACATTAGTCCTGGACTTTGCAATTGCTATGAAATCGGAGGTCAATCAGCCACCGCTCAAGGCGCCCCTAGCAACAGTCTCAACCTTTTTACCCCAGAGGAACCTCTAAAATAATTTTTAGGTGTCGGGTAGTCCATACTAAAAGCAAGTCATTGGGGTCAATGGGAAAAAATGTCCCTTACGGTGGTCAGTGGGAAGAATGTCCCTTAGATTGGTGGTCGGTGGGAAGAATGTGTCCCTTAGATTGGTGGTCGGTGGGAAGAATGTCCCTTACATTGGTGATCAGTGGGAAGAATGTCCCTTACATTGGGGGTCAGTGGGAAGAGTGTCCATTACATTGGGGGGTCAGTGGGAAGAATGCCCCTTACGTTGGTGGTCAGTGGGAAGAATGTCCCTTACATTGGGGGTCAGTGGGAAGAATGTCCCTTACATTGGTGATCAGTGGGAAGAATGTCCCTTACATTGGTGATCAGTGGGAAGAATGTCCCTTACGTTGGTGGTCAGTGGGATGAATGTTCTTACATTGAGGGTCAGTGGGAAGAATGTCCCTTACATTGGTGATCAGTGGGAAGAACGTCCCTTACATTGGGGGTCAGTGGGAAGAATGTCCCTTACATTGGGGGTCAGTGGGAAGAATGTCCCTTACATTGGGGGTCAGTGGGAAGAATGTCCCTTACATTGGGGGTCAGTGGGAAGAATGTCCCTTACATTGGTGGTCAGTGGGAAGAATGTCCCTTACGTTGGTGGTCAGTGGGAAGAATGTCCCTTACGTTGGGGGTCAGTGGGGAGAATGTCCCTTACATTGGGGATCAGTGGGAAGAATGTCCCTTACATTGGTGGTCAGTGGGAAGAATGTCCCTTACATTGGGGGTCAGTGGGAAGAATGTCCCTTACGTTGGTGATCAGTGGGAAGAATGTCCCTTACGTTGGGGGTCAGTGGGAAGAATGTCCCTTACGTTGGAGGTCAGTGGGAAGAATGTCCATTACGTTGGTGGTCAGTGGGAAGAATGTCCTTTACCTTGGTGGTCAGTTGGAAGAATGTCCCTTACGTTGGGGGTCAGTGGGAAGAATGTCCCTTACGTTGGGGGTCAGTGGGAAGAATGTCCCTTACGTTGGGGGTCAGTGGGAAGAATGTCCCTTACGTTGGTGGTCAGTGGGAAGAATGTCCCTTACGTTGGGGGTCAGTGGGAAGAATGTCCCTTACATTGGGGGTCAGTGGGAAGAATGTCCCTTACATTGGTGGTCAGTGGGAAGAATTTTACCCTACAGTGGTGGTGAGAATGGCTCCCCTTAGGAACAGTTAAAATAATTATCATACTGCTGGCTTTGCCAAGTGGTGTTGGTCTTGGCACCATGCAGGAATCATCAAATGGGAGGTGAATGAGCCACCAGCTCAAGGAATCCCCTCTGTAACCTCTGGAGGAACCCTGGTGTTCCATGGAACCCTGCTTGATGATGGCTGCCCTAGCAGGTCCTAAACAACCTGATTATTACAACCAGCGCTCACAGTCCATAGCATCCTTTACTTTCATCAATCTGTTTACGATTATGATTTTCGATAATTGGTGGCCATGATGGTTTTCGGACTCTTTGTAGATGAAGTTGATACTTTTGGGAAAACATTACTTAACAAAAAGGCAACGCGCTCAACACTGAAGATTTTCCTTCGAGGTGAAGGCTGTGGGGTTGAGTCAGCCCCTGGTTTCCTATGTCTTGGACAGTCCAATAGAGAGCTCTACCCGCCCTAATGCCGGCCTCTGTTCCTGTCTGCCGGGGGATTTTGGGTGACCCAGTCCACCTTCATGTGTCTCGGGCCCCTCCTAAAACATTCTCCATAATATAAAAATAAATAAAATCTCCAGAATGGAGAGTGGGACCCCCGTAGTAGTCACAGCAGCAATCCAGATTGCCATTCCCACCAATAGATGCCATGAGAGATGTAAGAATCTGGAGGGCGGTATAACCCGCCATCCACCAAAGACTGAAATCTCGATTTTGGGTGGATTGGCCCCTTATAAAGGAATCCCGGCGGATTGTGTTCCTTGAACCCCATTTCCTGGAACATCACCGGTTCCCTGTCTAGAAGCCGACCTGTGTAGTAGGAGAGTCCTGAGAGTAATCGGTAATTGTCCGTGAACTGATAACCGACCGCAGGTCACATGATCGATCTATCCAGTGCTGGAATGAATATATGCCGCTTTCAGGAAGTCCACCAATCACGTCATTGCATGGCTTCGGCTTGCTTAGAACATTTCTGTGTGCTCTGATGTAATATATATTGCATGTAAGCAAATGTAAATTCATTATAAAATAAACGTATATTTTTAAGGAAAGAATTGTATCGTCTTCACTTGGCAGCAAATCGCATCGTGCCGATCTGTGGAGTCAAACGGGGCGCTTGGCAGGCGGTTACCATCCCTGACTCCTTCCTCTGGATTTCCTGATCTGCAAACCTGTCACAGATCAGACTCTCCTTCATTGGTGCGATCTGTCCTTGACCGTGCCTGGGAAGATGTCATCAGTCTGCTGCGGGCAGGAGGAAGCATTTCCCCAGTCTCCTGTCCCTCAGTGATCAGACTGCAACATTGTAAGGTGAGAGGTTGCAGCAGGGGCAGATCTGTGTCCGATGTTTGTGAACACAGCCAAGAACTGCAGAGGCTGAAATATTCATCTAGTCTAGAGGAGATTTAAAGCACAATAATACTTGCCTTGTTCCTGCTCCCCTGACAACTAGCAAGCTCCTCCTCCACACTGCTTCAATGTAGGTTGCCCCCAGCTAAAAGAGATGAAGGCTCCTAGATTGTAAGCTCCCAGGATCAGCCCCTCCCTCTTAGATTGTAAACTCCCAGGATCAGCCCCTCCCTCTTAGATTGTAAACTCCCAGGATCAGCCCCTCCCTCTTAGACTGTAAACTCCCAGAATCAGCCCCTCCCTCTTAGACTGTAAACTCCCAGGATCAGGCCCTCCCTCTTTGATTGTAAACTCCCAGGATCAGCCCCTCCCTCTTAGATTGTAAGCTCCCAGGATCAGCCCCTCCCCCTTAGACTGTAAGCTCCCAGGATCAGCCCCTCCCTCTTAGATTGTAAGCTCCCAGGATCAGCCCCTCCCTCTTAGATTGTAAGCTCCCAGGATCAGCCCCTCCCTCTTAGATTGTAAGCTCCCAGGATCAGCCCCTCCCTCTTAGATTGTAAGCTCCCAGGATCAGGCCCTCCCTCTTAGATTGTAAACTCCCAGGATCAGCCCCTCCCCCTTAGACTGTAAGCTCCCAGGATCAGCCCCTCACTCTTAGACTGTAAACTCCCAGGATCAGCCCCTCCCTCTTAGATTGTAAGCTCCCAGGATCAGCCCCTCCCTCTTAGATTGTAAGATCCCAGGATCAGCCCCTCCCTCTTAGATTGTAAGATCCCAGGATCAGGCCCCTCTTAGATCGTAAGCTCCCAGGATCAGCCCCTCCCTCTTAGATCGTAACCTCCCAGGATCAGCCCCTCCCTCTTAGATTATAAGCTCCCAGGATCAGGGCCCTCCCTCTTAGATTGTAAGCTCCCAGGATCAGCCCCTCCCTCTTAGATTGTAAGCTCCCGGGATCAGCCCCTTCCTCTTAGATTATAAGCTCCCAGGATCAGGGCCCTCCCTCTTACATTGTAAGCTCCCAGGATCAGCCCCGCCCTCTTAGATTGTAAACTCCCAGGATCAGCCCCTCCCTCTTAGATTGTAAACTCCCAGGATCAGCCCCTCCCTCTTAGATTGTAAGCTCCCAGGATCAGGCCCCTCCCTCTTAGATTGTAATCTCCCAGGATCAGGCCCCTCTTAGATCGTAAACTCCCAGGATCAGCCCCTCCCTCTTAGATCGTAAGCTCCCAGGATCAGCCCCTCCCTCTTAGATCGTAACCTCCCAGGATCAGCCCCCTCTTAGATTGTAAACTCCCAGGATCAGCCCCTCCCTCTTAGATTGTAAGCTCCCAGGACCAGGGCCCTCCCTCTTAGATTGTAAGCTCCCGGGATCAGCCCCTCCCTCTTAGATTGTAAACTCCCAGGATCAGCCCCTCCCTCTTAGACTGTAAACTCCCAGGATCAGCCCCTCCCTCTTAGACTGTAAACTCCCAGGATGAGCCCCTCCCTCTTAGATTGTAAACTCCCAGTATCAGCCCCTCCCTCTTAGATTGTAAACTCCCGGGATCAGCCCCTCCCTCTTAGATTGTAAGCTCCCGGGATCAGCCCCTCCCTCTTAGATTGTAAACTCCCGGGATCAGCCCCTCCCTCTTAGATTGTAAGCTCCCGGGATCAGCCCCCTCTTAGATTGTAATCTCCCAGGATCAGGCCCCTCCCTCTTAGACTGTAAACTCCCAGGATCAGCCCCTCCCTCTTAGATTGTAAACTCCCAGGATCAGCCCCTCCCCCTTAGACTGTAAGCTCCCAGGATCAGTCCCTCCCCCTTAGACTGTAAGCTCCCAGGATCAGTCCCTCCCCCATAGATTGTAAACTCCCAGGATCAGCCCCTCCCTCTTAGATTGTAAACTCCCGGGATCAGCCCCTCCCTCTTAGATTGTAAGCTCCCGGGATCAGCCCCTCCCTCTTAGATTGTAAACTCCCGGGATCAGCCCCTCCCTCTTAGATTGTAAACTCCCGGGATCAGCCCCCTCTTAGATTGTAATCTCCCAGGATCAGGCCCCTCCCTCTTAGATTGTAAACTCCCAGGATCAGCCCCCCCTCTTAGACTGTAAGCTCCCAGGATCAGTCCCTCCCCCTTAGACTGTAAGCTCCCAGGATCAGTCCCTCCCCTTAGACTGTAAGCTCCCAGGATCAGTCCCTCCCCCATAGATTGTAAACTCCCAGGATCAGCCCCTCCCCCTTAGACTGTAAGCTCCCAGGATCAGCCCCTCCTATCCCTCTTGTATTGATCTGTATTGATCTGTATTGTCTCCCATTATATTGTACAGCACTGAGCACACTGTTGGCGCCATAAATCCTGTATAATAATAATAATACACTGGGCGCAGCAATCAATTCTTGGATTTGCAAACACTTTCAGACACTAGAGGGAGCTCTTAGTGGTTCAGTGCAATTACGCTGACTTCTTCTGACCACGTTTGAGATTTCATCCACACAGGAAGTGTACTGTTTCCAATGAAGCACCAGGATTTACATGATGGTGTCATCCCTGAGCTGGTTTCCCAGTCCAAGAAGCAAAAGGTGACCCAGGATGATGGCTGAACCAAACTGGCGCCGGCCTTGTGGAGTGGAGAGCGTTATCAGGGGAACTCTGATCCCTGCGAGACGTAATAACTACTTGGAAATGTTACATTTGCACATTACACAACATGGATGCCCCCAATAGTGTGGATGGCGGGTCTGCTCTTAAGGAACACTAAACTCTTACAATATATATATATACACAGCTCCCAAAATGAAAGGAAGATATTAACCCATCAATGGCCCTCAGTAGTCTGTGTGGCCCCCACGTGATTGTATGCATGCCTGACAACGTCGGGGGAGGCTCCTAATGAGACCACGGATGGTGTCCTGGGGGATTTCCTCCCAGATCTGGACCAGGGCATATCTGAGCTCCTGGACAGTCTGAGGTGCAACCTGGCGGCGTCGGATGGACCGAAACATGACATCCCAGAGGGGTTCTATTGGATTTAGGTCAGGCAAGTGTGGGGGCCATTCAATGGTATCAATTCCTTCATCCTCCAGAAACTGCCTACATACTCTCCCCACATGAGGCCGGGCATTGTCTGCACCAGGAGGAACCCAGGACCCACCGCATCAGGAGGAACCCAGGACCCCCTGCACCAGGAGGAACCCGGGACCCACCTCACCAGGAGGAACCCGGGACCCACCGCACCAGGAGGAACCCGGGACCCACCGCACCAGGAGGAACCCGGGACCCACCGCACCAGGAGGAACCCGGGACCCACCGCACCAGGAGGAACCCGGGGCCCACCGCACCAGGATGAACCCAGGACACACTGCACCAGTGTAGGGTCTGACAATGGGTCCAAGGATTTCATCCCCATACCTAATGGCAGTCAGGGTGCCATTGTCTAGCCTGTAGAGGTCTGTGTGTCCCTCCATGGAGATGCCTCCCCAGACCATCACTGACCCACCACCACAACGGTCATGCTGAACCATGTTACAGGCAGCAGAATGTTCTCCACGGCTTCTCCAGACCCTTTCACGTCTGTCACATGTGCTCAGGGGGAACCTGCTCTCATCTGTGAAAAGCACAGGGTGCCAGTGGTGGACCTGCCAATTCTGGGGTTCAAA